TGGAATATCTTTATTTCAAAATATTTTGCAAACTGCAGCCTGTGACATGTGGAAGGGCCAGTTAGGATTGCTAATTTATAGCTCGGGACTGGAAACAACCTTGACTATTCCCTGGATTAACTACCCATCTGATGATTAATCCATGCCACGACGCCCCCACCAAGCCTCTGTCTACACTGGACTTGAAAATTCCAAGAATAGACATTTACCTTTCAAGGCGGTGGATTTTAGTGATGAATTCCCCTTAGTCCAACGTGGTTGGCTCTCAGAAATGCTCATTATTTCTTTGAAAATATTAAGGAATTCCATATTCTTACAAATGCCTTTACAGATGAGTCACATAATTTCCATTATAATTGTGTATAGAAAGTGTAAATGTCAAATGTAAACGCAAATGTCAAAAATAAAATGAGGTTATGCAGTTGTCTGCCCACTTGTCCTGTGGTATGCTAATACCAACAAAAAATAAATTCAGATGTATTAATACAGACAAACGGATGACTTGTTACTTAGAGTTATCTTACACATTTCTGAATAATTTTCTTTCTCAAAAATACTTCGCCATTGAAAAATGAGCCAATTTTCCAGAAAAAAAAAAAAATTAAGTTTACCTTTTTATAACACCTACATCTTGAGAATGATAATTATGATCGAGATATTTCCGTAGGATGTGCCTGCTCGAGTAAGCAGGAGGTACTGATGTAGTCCTTTTTCTCAAGATCTCGCCATGGTCAGCTCTATGGTACCCAGCTGGACCGGTGCGCCACTGAGATGCACCAGCTGTGCAGCCCTGCAGCGCCCCTAGCGTGTGACCCTGCAGCGCCCCTAGCGTATATTCCTTACTCGTTCGGTAATTAATTCTCATGACTCCTCCGCTGCTCTCGCTGCTCATTCCTCACTGTGGTTGGCTATTTTTTACCTCCAAGGAGATCTCATCGCTTCAGTTCTTCTGTCTCTTTTCAAGCACACCGGATTCGTGTTTACAGATAAGAACCCGAGACGACGCTTCATCTAAGATTCCGAATTATCGCCGCTAAGTAAAATGCACAGGCTTTGGGACAACTCTTTCCTCCATACCCTTCCTCTTCCTTTAGTACTGACTGACGGTGACGGAAACCTGATAAACAGCGGATACACGATGCTGTGTTTTAGTCACAGTAAGAACAACAGCAACGAAAAGAATACAAATGATAAGAATGGTAACGTGTAGGTGAAAAACACGGTTCTAAGGATTTTGGCTGAGTTGGGTCACAGTCATAACAACCCTATAAGGAAAAAAATTACTTTCTTTACGTTCAACTGCATTAACTAAGACGTGGAAATAGGGGCCACCCAACCGGTAGGTGGCAGAGCCTCAATTTAATCACAATTTAACCGTTTTGTTTTAGGATAGATTTATAAGGTTTTCAGTCTGTGATGGAGCATGGATACATGCGTGTTGAACGACTACTTTTTCCATCTTCTATTTTTGTTTGGGGACTTTGGTGAAACCCAAGCACTGAGCTATGACAGGCAGCTCGGCGCAACAGAAAGATCAGAAGCTCCATAGTCAGAACGGGTATCGTGTTTGTGCAGGCATTCGTAACACATCACTTTGAACAAAGTCCCATTTGAGTATCTTCGCTTTTTAGTCTTTTTTCTTCTTCCTTTCACAGAAAGCTGATAGTGCCCCATTTGCATATGAGTCTGTTGCACGTTTGTCGTGGTAGTGGGGACGATATCTGTCATACTGGTTATTTCTGAAAAATATTTGCTTGGAAACGTATGTATTTTTGCACCTGTGTTGCTGCTGTAATAGTTTAAAATTCAAGAAGACACACTTTACGCGACAACACTGAGTGCCTGTTGCGTGCCCGGCATCTTGCTAGGTGATGCGGGCATGACAATGAATGATACAGGGTCCCTGTCCTCAAGGGCCTTAGAGTCTGCTGGGGAAGGCTCTCATACAAACAAATAACATCACCATAACGAAGAGAGGGATCGGATAAAGGCGAGTGAAGGAAAAGAGAGGAAAGGCTCTTAGAAAAGTCTAGGGACTTGAGAAAAGCTAGGAGGAGATGCCACCTGGGCTGAGACTTGAAGGTGGAATGAGTCGATGGAGTAAGCGGAAGTGGCTGGGAGGACTTCACGGGCGCACCTCGGACCTAGGTGTGAGGGGCAGTGTGTCCAACCCGCTCGTCCTCCCGCTTTCTCATTTTGGTAAGTGGCAGCCCTCAGTTGCACGAGACAGCATCTTCCGGGAGTATCTTTGACTCCATCCTCTTCCTCACCTCCCGCAGCCAGCCAGTCACCAAACTCAATACATCCTGCTCCCTAGATGGCTCTGGGACCCACTGTTTCTCTGTGCCACTTCTGCTGCCACGTGATTGTTTCTTGCCTATAGTTGCTAATGGGCTAGTAACTAGTTTTCAGCCTTCAGTCTTTCTCTGCTCATCTCTTTCCACCACCCTCCCCCAAACTCATTCTTCACACTGCAGGTCAAGTGTATTCAAAATTGCATCCAGAAGACGTATTTCCCTGAGTGGGGGAGGGGCGGGGGGAGTCTCAATGACTCTCCATTGCTCTTAGAAGCAAATTCAAATTTTTATCATGACTGACAAAGGCTTGATGATTCAATGTATTATTTATTTATTTAATTATTTTTCTAGTCTTGTCTTTACCCATTAGCTCCTCACACTCTGATCAAGCTACTTGGAAATGGACTCCTTTAGGGATAAGGCAGTAGGTCTCATGACCCAGACATAAAACTGTAATCAACTGTCCATTGACACAAGTCGACGTTAAAGTGTTGCAGTGTATTATTAGTTAATTTGTGAGCTCATAGGGTGTGATGAGAGCAGGTTGCTTATCAAGGGGAATCGGAATGCCGGGTTGGGTTTTGAGGACGGCCAGACTTGGTGGGAGATCCCCTTGGGTCCTCAGCGGGCGGAAGCTACCCGATTGGCCAGGGAAGAGGCCGGGACTCTCAGAGGATGAGGAAGAGCAATGGGAGGAGAACCGGCGAGTCCAAAAGACAAACCACTTGGCTTCATGAGGTTGCTTGGACTGACCCTGTTTCCAGGGTCACGTTTCCATGAGTCCTTTGGGGTTCTGAGACCTGATCTCCAATTTGGGAGGGTTCCCCACACCACCACCGAGAAATTCTCAGACACCAGATGGGTGTCCTGCAAGTCAGCCCAATTCTGACACGATCTATCTGGAGGTAGCACCAGCTTCCACAGGTTGAGGGTTCAGTCCTACAAGGCCGCACCCCCTACCGCACCCCGAACCCCTGCCCCTTCAGACGCCAGTCGCAAGCCCAGATTGTCACCTGTGCTTCTGACCAACTGGCTCTGGATCAGATTCACACGATCCCCTTCCTGCGTTCTGGACGCCAGTCGTAAGCCCAGGTTGTCACCTGTACTTCCGTGTGCCGGAGTAGGTACCAGAGGTTCCCACGACCCCCTCTGTCCTTGGGTTCTATTAACTTGCTAACGCAGCTCACAGAACTCAGGAAATGTTTCACTTACCAGATCACTGGTTTATTATAAAAGGCTCTAACTCAGGAGCAGCCAGACGGAAGAGGTGTGGGGAAGACCCACCCCCATCTCCATCTCGGAGTGTCCACCACCCTGGAAGCCTTTGTGCCCCTTCCTTTTGGGTTTTTACTAGGCTTCTTTACTGGCAGCTCATCTAACCTGAGGCCCTCTGCCCTCCCCCAAGGTCAGAGGATGGGAATGAAAGTTTCAACCCTCTAATCACATGGTCAGCTCCTCTGGCCACCAGCCCCCAATCCACAGGTGCAGTCCAAAAGTCACCATGTTCATGTAACAAAAGACCCCTTTGTGGCCTTTAACCCTTGAATATTCCAAAGGTTTTAGGAGCTCTGCGCCAGAAACAGAATGAAGACCAAATGTATATTTCTTCTTATAAATCACAATATCATAATGTACTTATTACTATCACAGTAATGTACATTTAAAAATGTTATTAGCACAAAGGGATGCCTATGTATTTTATAATTGCAGTGCTGCTAAGTTAGTTGTAATTGTTTTTAGACGTTGTAAGTATATCATACAGGGTCTTGGCAGGAAATGGCTGGCAAACCCAAGGGATTTAACTGAAGAGGTTTTGGTCAGGGTTACGGAAATTAACAAGGGATAGTGAAAAACCCAGGGACTAGCAGCAGTAGGACAGCTTTCCCACACTGTAGGGAGCTGAATAATGCCCCCCACACCCTCCAAAGATGTCCATGAATACGAAACCCTGTATGGCAAAAGGCGCTTTGAAGTTATGATTAAATTAAAGATCTCGAGATGGGGAGATTATCCTGGATCTTTGAAGATGGAGAAAAGGCTTAGAGCCAAGGAATTTAGGCAACCTCTAAAATCTGGAAAAGATAAGAAAACTGATTCTCCCTTAGAGACTCCAAAAAAAAAGATGCTGCCCTGCAGACATAATTCAGACTTCTAACCTCCAGAATGATAACATAATAAATCTGTGATGTTTTAAGCCACTGAGTTTGTGGTAATTTGTTACAACAGCAATAAGAAATTAGATACACACCCTTCGCCTGAAGGGACAAGGAGAAAGGTTTTACCAAAGCTTAGAAAGAGCTGGAACTGTGGGGGAAGAAAGGCGAGACAGGAGCTGTAGCCACAGAGGAATGACTAGAACCTCAGTGAGGCTGGGTCGGGGTGGGGAGGAGAACCAGGAGGCTGCTTCCTCTCTGTGCCTTCTGGACCACTGCCGCTGCCTCCTGTTGGCTGAACTCAAAGTCAGCCGTAGGAACAAGCAGCCCCAGTGACACAGGTCACACAGCAGGGCAGAGAATGGATCTCGTGAAGAGAGGGACTGAGTTGGGCAAATGGAAGACAAAGAGGAATAAGATTCCAAGCAGCCCCAGTGACACAGGTCACAGAGCAGGGCAGAGAATGGATCTCGTGAAGAGAGGGAGTTGGGCAAATGGAAGACAAAGAGGAATAAGATTCTTGAATTATGCCCTCCTTGTAAGTAAAATAATCTGCACTTAAACACTATTTTATACAGACAGGGGTTCTATCATAACCCTAAAATAAGCATTTTAGCTTATTTATTAAAGATTGGAAAATCACTTTTTTCCTCTTTTTCTGCCAGAAATTATTGCTGCAGCCTTGAGAAAACAAACAAACAGATAAATAAATAAACCCAGAGCTCATTATTGTATAATTTTAATGGCATGATCACATTATTAGAGGCAGAATAACAAACACATCACACAGTCTCCAGAAGAATTCTTTCCTGACACGCCAGTGTACCAGGAAATACCATTTGAAAAATGTTGACCTCACTATGTGTTGTTTGTAGCTGACCATTGATATAAACTGGAATCTTTGGTTGTGTTCTTGGTTTGCCATCTCTTAATATGTTAGTTTATTAGTTTATTCATAGTAAGACATACATGTCCAATTGGGAAGACACATTAGACAAATAATTACAGTAACACATCCTCCTCTGTTTCAGAGAGGCCCTTGGTCCCTTTCTCCTTGGGTAGTTATTACTCAGGGATTAGTTTTAATCATTATCTTTGCCCAAGAAGCTTTCTCTGACTCTCCAGAATAGGTTAGGTCCTGTTCTTATGGAAATGTTCTTATACTTTGCCTTCAGAACGGTCATTACGGTTTTAGTTAATTATTTGTTTGGTGGTTTGTTTGATATGTTTTATTTTGCCATTAGAGTGTAAGCCCCATGTTCTGTTTTGATCATCTCTGTCCCTAGGGGTCAGCTCAGTGCTTGGTGTGTAGTGGGTTCCCACTTATATATCTGTAGAGTGAATGAATGCATGCATGAATGTCAAGATAGGAGAAGTGAGGGCTGCTAAAACAGGGGGAACCACCCTGGGTTAGGGGAACAGAGAAGGACTTCTGGAGAAGGGACATTTGAGCTGAGAGATGAAGGACAGCAAGAGAGCCACCCAGGTGTGGGAATTTGGGAGGGAAGTACACGGCAGCTCAGGGAGGTATTTGAAGCTACGTCGAAAAGGAGTCTTAAGCCAGACTGAAAGACCGTTCGAGGTTTGAATCTGAAGAATTTGGACATTCTACTAACAACGCTTAGAAGTCACTAAAGAATTGGAAATAGGAAAATGATAGATCTTTTCCCTTTAAAAGGCAGTCCTCATCGGTGTGCACAGAACTGTTGGGGCAAGTGCCCCAACTTGGAGGTGGTGGGACCAGCTAGGTGACGTGATGAATTTGGGTAAGAAACAGTGTGGCTTGGACTGGGACAGTGGCAGAGGCTCTGCGGATTCCTGCAATCATATTTTATTCATCACGTATTTGCTGTGCATCTACTATGTACCAGGCAACATTCTAGGAAATGCCGATACAATGGCGAATAATACAGATGAAGTCCTTGAAAATATGGGATTTATGTATTAACTGAGAAGTGGAATGTTAACAAATGAATGTGTAAATAAATGGGCCAGAAAGGTTTATTACCTTAAAGGAGCAACAGGTGGACTGACAATAGAGTTTCCAGTCCAGTCTATTGTCCAGTCTATTGTCACCAGCATCCAGTGGGATGGCATCTCTAGAGAACTCCAGGAAAAGAACCGCCAAGCGGTAGGAATGTCACATGAAGAACTCTGTAGGAATGACACATGTGGTCCTACAATGGGAAGCTCCTGGGTCAGACATACCTGAACATGGTTCAGAGATCTGCGAGACCTTCTTGTAAGCTGAGGATTATGATATCAAGGAATGAAAATACATGTATAAAACATTGAAAAGGAAGGGGCTGCAGTAAAGTCCTTGTGGGCTTAGTTGTTAGAACACATTAAAAAAAATCGACCCTAATAAAGATATAGACTTGTTTCTCAAAAGAAGACAGGGAAGAGGAGGAAATCAACTCCGACTTCCTGTTCAACAAACAGAAAGTGGGAAGAGGCTCATGAGGGTGAGAAAATCAATGTGAATTATTTCGAAAATTGGTTTCCTCTCTTTTTGTATCAAACTTGATACACATACACATGTAAAATGCTAAAAGCACCTTGGAATTTGAACAAAGCATTTCATTTGTACAGGTCCTTTTTCATCCAGCCTGGTGGCTCGTCCTGGATGTGCTGAGTTCTAAGTGTTCAGCTGAGAACACCAGCTTTAGTCACTTAGAGGTGTGTCCTTTGTAATCAGTCTTGCCCACAGAAGTGCCCATTAGAGAACCAGGCAGAAAGAGGACACAAGATTAAAAAGCATTAATGAAAAGTGGAAACAGACTACATGTCCACAGGTGTTTTAATTGGCCAGACCCTCCCTTACT